TTAGGGTTTTGGGTTCAGGGTTTAGCAACTAGGAGGTTCGAGAGGCTAAAGGGAAAGCCCAGGCTAAGACCGCAAACCCGTGGCGTGAGTTCACAGCTAACCCAAAGCAGCCACCTTGCATCAGTGTACTTGCTACCGTGCCGAAAGCACTTGAAAACAAAAGTAAGTCCGACATTTTTGCGTGCGTGCACCTTTGCAAAAATACGCGATATATATATATATATAGGCCTTTATCTATGTATATCTATATATAGGTATTCATTTATACACATATGTATAACATAATATGTAGGCACACACGTATTTTGAGCCTTTCGAAGAGCTCCTCTTCCCCATAGCCCTGGCCTTGTACAGACGATCGTTGGCCGGGTGCCGGGGGTCCTCACTTGACAGACAAGAAGAAAGACGCCGGGTTTGGGTTTGAGCTTAGGGATTGGTTGAGGGCTTACGGCCTAGGGTTTAGGGCTTCGGGCTTAGGGCTTATAGGGTTTAGGGCTTCGGGTTTCGGGTTTCGGGCTGAGGGGTTGCATTGAGGTGTGTCCTCTACTTGGGCTGAACGTGTCGTTGTTGCTCATTGTGGGTTTAAGGGCAAGGTGCGAGGTTATCAGGCGGGCACCATCGATAATTCACACACACGGTTAAGTCCGGAACCTGGATGTTAATGCCCAGGTGTACTGCTTGAACTGCACACAAACGGCAGCCACAAACTGGACCTCAACCCATGAACAAGATGCCCCAGATTGAGATGCCTGTCGAACAAAGACACGCAGCAAGCAGCCAGAGAAGGAGTCGGATTGGAACGATTTCACGCAGCAAACACTAACACAACTCTGGGATGACGATAGACCGTAGAATAATCCCAGTTCCACGGTATCATGGTTGCCTATGACCATGTCGTATGAGCGGAATGTTGCCGTCTTCAGGAACGTTTCCTCCAGTGCACGAAGCCTTCGTTGCACAGTTCATCTGTTCCGTTCCTCGAAGCGCCCCTTTCTGACCGACTTCAGACAAACCCCAGGGTTTAGGGTTAAGGGTTTAGGGCCCTCAAATACCGTCGGAGGCAAGATTGGTTTGTTGTTTTCTTGGGCGGGGTGTAAGCCGATGCGGCGAAGCTTCACAAGCCTAAGCCCTGAATCGTAGATCTCAAAACCCTCTTAGGAGCGAGTTTGAGCTGCTCCTTATTTCCTGAGCTCTTAGACGACTGAGGTTTAGGGTTTAGGGGTTCTGGTTTGAACTGACGGAAATTACAGCAAAGACCACGACAACTTTTCCTGCTAACTGAGCCTGTAAAACCACACTATGACCCCCAGGCCATTTTATGCTGTCCATGGAGCTGTTTTGTCGACGCACTCTGGCAGAACATCGTCCTGGGCAACTCGTGACGTGAATTGTGCAGAACTGCTGATATTTTATCCGAAGGACCCTTATTCCAGCATCTGGACAAATTCTTCGGGGCACAAGACAGCATAGTCGTCCATCTATATATATATATATATGTACGGGGTAGGAGGACATCTTCGTAACCCTGTGCCAAGTGCGGCAAGCAACATCAACACCCCAATGACTGAAATCAATACCCGATACCCAAACCCCTGAGCCCGAACCCTGAACCCTAAGCCACCCCTAGACCCTCAACCACTACAAACCCTCAGCCCGCACAAGGCTGCCCAGTATCGCTGCCGCGCCAGTGCTTGACCTTGTTGGGCAGCTGGTGGATGGCCAAAACTACAGCAATGCACCGTGCTAGCAAAGCAAGGCCTCAGAGACCCAAGAACCACCAGCAAGAAATTTCTCCCTGGCTGCGTCATTAAGCTCTGAACCCTAACCCTAAACCTCGAGGGCTCTACACCAGAGAGTGCACAAGTAATCTCCGATCCCATTTCTCGTCTCCCAAGAAGACCTTCTTTGGCTTCTCCTCGGGTTATACGTACCCAAACCGATTGAACCTTACCTGGCTAGGATGCTACAACTGAAACAACAGCCAGTACTCGAAACAATAGAGCTAGAACGAATACCATAACAAACTGTAATATAGTCCGAGACCCGAAAATTCTCTGAATGAGTCGCGGTGCTGCTAGCTTCACGGCCAAGGTCAAGGGAAAAAATGCAATTTCAGGCTTTGCGGATTCTGTGTAGGGTAAGGGTTCTAGGTACCTGCATCTTACAAAGAGCTGGAGGGATGTAGAAGTTTTATTGCAATCCTACGAAAGCTTCACGCAGCACACATAAATTCCGTGACGCCAAAGCTCTATGTGCTTACTCGCAGTATATACTTAGGCGATAATTAACGGGACCCTATACATCAACCTTACGGCCAAAGTAGACGCTATATGCGCACATGGACCCCTTATGGGAACATTAAGTCCGAGCCTGAAGCCAGAAACCGTAAACCTTCAAGCCCAAACCGAAAGCCTAAACCGACAACAGAAAGACAGCTCCGAGGTGCTCTCGCTTCACCGTACATGTCAATGGCCTCTTTCTCCGTAAGCCCCTGTCGGGGGGTTGGGTTTTGGGTTTTGGATGTAGGGTTGCTGGGTTTCACGTTCCCCAAACTCCCACGTTCCCCAAACTCCTTTCCAACATCAGTGCAAGCAGCCTGGGTTGCCCAATACGGCTCTTTCAGAATCTTGGTGCTTTTTTCGGGTTCAGGGTTTTATAATTTAGGCCTCAAACAACCTCCTAAATTGCGGCCAGTTACTCGGATTGTGAAACCCGAAACCTGCGTAACTCCCCAATCCCGTAGGAAACCCTAAACCCGGAACCCTATAGACTCTCAAGCCCTATAACCGAAAACTGGGAGTCCTAAACACTGAACCCTAAACTCTCAAGCCCTATATAACCGAACACTGGGAGTTATAACAGGCGTGCCTGCAGAACGCCTGAGTGGCCGGGATTCCTTCAGCGACGTGGGTTTTACTTGAAGGCCTGCCTTTGGGGTTCTGGGTCCTTACAAGGGTAGGATCGGGTTCTATGATAGGGTTCAGGGTTCAGCGTTTAGGGTTTAGGGTGTAGGTTCCCCTTAAAGGCAATACAGGGTTCTACAAGAGGGGTCCTGGCACATGCTGGGCGTCCAAATCGCAGGTTGGAGGAGAGGCTATCTTGAAATGGGGAATGATTTGGGCCCCAATCAAGCACATAAGCAAAATTCAGGATAGGAATATCAGAATATCCCATATAAATTCCCTTATGATGAAACCCAATGAGGTAGGGATATCCTGATATCCCTATAAAATGCGTATGCTTATGTCCTTTTGGGGTCCCTAAATCATGGGGTTCAGGTTGGGCTGCCGGCTGTTTTGGGGATCTGTTGATAACGGAGCTGAGTGCAAACGAGATCGCGGTGGGATTGGGACCCTAAACCCTAAACCCTAAACATCAGGGTTCAAGGTATAGGGTTTAGGGTTCAAGGTGTTAAACCCTGAACCCGACACTCTAAACCTCGACAGTGATAGCTGGAATCCAGCCACAGGCATGCTTGACTCGTCTGCCTTTCTGGTGCCTGAGGCAACGGTACTCACTGTCACCAGTGGCAAGGGGAATGCCCAGCTCCTCGATTTGGGTAGTTCTCTATATTAGAGTCCCCTTTTAGGTCCCCAATACAATACGGCACCCTTATAAAAAGGACCCTAAACGGGGCCCTAATTTCGAAAACTACCCATTTAGGTCCACAATAGAATACGGCACCCTTTTAAACAGGACCCGAAAAGGGACCCTAATTTAGAAAACTACCCATTTCGGCATTCAGGCAACTCATGCTGCCGTCCCTGGATCCCGGCATAGCTTCGATGATCCCGCGAAGCAGGTTCCCCACCACATGGCAGGACACACCGAGGTCCAGGGCATGGAGGCAGGGTTTAGGGTTTAGGGTCTAGGGCCTAGGGTTTAGGGCCTAGGGTTTAGGCTTTAGGGTTTAAAGTTTAGGGGTTTAGGGTTTAGGGTTTAGGGTTTAGGGTTTAGGGCTTACCAGCAAGTTCGATGGCATAC